GAATAGACTCCCTCTTCAGTGAATGTGATACAGTCAATACAGTGGCCATTAGTTCAAGGTCTGGGAGGAAACCATTGATAATTCACTATTAGTTAACATGCCAATGTGATCAGCTCCAAACATCACTCAAACACTCACACACATATGCAACGCATAACAAATGCTCAATGTTCAGACGTTTTCGACGTTGGGTGAATTGTGTGGATTCTGAATCGATCTGTTTCACTGATTCGCACAGATCCCCCAAAGAAGCGGGTGGACTCTCCCATGTTGAACCGTCATGGCAAGAGGAGACCAGAGAGGAAGTCCATGGAGGTCCTCAGTGTCACAGACGGAGGCTCGCCCGTACCGGCAAGGAGGGCTATCGACATGACACAGCATGGACAGAGGTACGCATGGAGGTGAACAGAAAAAGTCTATACAATTTTTCAAATGAACAAATGGAGTTAGACATAGCTGTGTGTGTGTGTGTGTGTGTGTGTGTGTGTGTGTGTGTGTGTGTGTGGAGGATCTCGCAGCCCAGTGGTGTTTAGAGCAGGTCTGAGAGCGAGTCTGGCTCTGGTGTCGGGAGGCTAGAATGTGGACAGACATCAACACAGAGACTGACGCTCTGCTCGCTTTGTCTCCTGTCTCACTGTAGTAAATCAGTGTACAGTAAAAGCTTGGATATTCCTGAGGCCAGTACAAAATGCAGCGAAGAAGAAAGGTATTCATCTGCCACTCACCCCTCACATGTTCACCTCCTCTTGCTCTGTGTCTTGGCCCCCCCCCCCCCCCCCACCCCCCACCCATGCAAGGAGACATTCCACGGCAGCAGAAAGATGCAGCGGTGCTTTCTGTTAAAAGGAGGCTTCATTTAAACGGTGACATATGCTGCATGTGGCGGCTTCACAAGTCTATTTTAATAAATCAATAACTCATCTTCAAAACGGAAGAAGCCGGGTCTAAATGAGTCAACAGTTTTGGGATGGCAGTTGCTAAAATATGACTTAACTCTCCCAATTGACTTAACTTTCAAATGGAGTAAGACAGCGCATTTGAAATTCGGAGCTGGTGTTAGCTCAATTATCTCCTCTTTTCATAATCTGAATGCATTGATAATCAGTTCTCCCATACTGTGTCCCACTTTCTCCGGATGCCGAACATTTCTCCGTTTCTCTATTTTAGAAATGTTGAAGTCAAGCCAGAGCTACACCCCCACAAGGCACAGCAGACTGATTTAAAATCTATTTCCCCATCTTATTTCAACAACCAATATATCATCGCACGACATATTTCTGCTCAGAGGCGGTGACATTTGTGACAGCGGGTAAGATTGAATCTGAGGGGGGTGATAACCTGATCTGCCTAATGATGGGCAGAGTGCTGGAAAAAGCTTTCCGAGGTATGGGATGCAGGGGCAGCGAGATCATATATTCTATAGATTAAAAAAAATGGCGTTATAAAATTGAATATTCGTCCAAATGCCTCTGAATTTCACTTTAACATTCATCTTCCTGATTTTCATCGCCTCTACTCCACTCCTTCACCCCTTCAGGCGATCCAAGTCTTATTTCTTCTTTATTTAAAGGTCGCATTAGTTCACAAGCTACCTTCGTCTGCCCTTCGCTCTGACTCGTCTGTTTCGGCCCAGGCAATGATCTCAAAAAATAGGCCAGTTTGCAATGACTTTATCGAGCATTAAAAATGCTTTCCAAAACGGAAAACACCAGCTGAGAAATCGTACACTACTGAATGGCGAACATCATAAAGGCCACAGAAAACAGTTGTGAACCTTTGATTAAAACAGGACCTTTAGGTTTACTCGTATAAATCTCAAAAATAAGTCGCATCTACTGACGGCAGCATATGAAGTAGGTTTGTCTGGATCCTACATATATCAGCAGCTGCAGTCATTTAAAAAGCTCCGCTGCATCTTTCCTCCGAGCTACTTTAAATCAGTGTGTTTTGGTTTTAGTCCTCCACCCAAATCTCTTTCAGGAGCTCCTCCCTACTTCCTTGTGTGCAACTGACCTTTAGTCCCAACCCCCCCCCCCCCCCTGTTTGTATGGAATTGCTATGCTAATGTGGAAATGCTGCTAGTTTTTCTCTGCCTGGCTTCCTGTCGGTGGGTTTGAGGCGGAGGGAGTCCTATACCACAGCCCATCTGCCTCCAAATCAAATCTCTCCCTTGCTTTATGTTGCTCCCCCCCCCCCCCCCCCCCCCAATGCAATTCACGACTCTCCAGCTGATCAGTGGGGGGAAAAAGATGTCTGTAACAAAGCCTCTGTGTAACTTTTTTGCCTTTCATCACATCCTTGTGTGCGCTTTGTTTGATCATGTGCGCGCTTGTGTGTGTGTTTATAGGCGATGGCGTTGTGGAAGCACATACGTAGCAGAATAACGTCCAATGATTTGGCTGACTTTCTCAGAACCTAACCTTATCTTTCCCCGACAGCAAACTTTTGTCGACAGCACAGAAGATCCGTAGAACTTCAGATCAGAGGGTGTCAGAGAGAGGACTGACTTTGAAACGTGTTTTGACAGGATACATTTCCACCAGCGCAAATGATGGAAGAGGGGGGGAAACGGTTTTATCTAAAATTACACAACGGAAATGCCTGAACCTCAATCCCTATCCAGCATTTTGCTTCACATATCTCATGTAGGCAGTAATAATCCGATCAAATGCCCAGGCTGCATTTGCATACATGTGATTGATGATTTGACTGCTTCTGTGAAGTATAATTGAAAAGATTTGGGATAAATGCAGCAGTAGCCACACACATGGAGACATTCTCACGTGAATGTCCATTTCATTCTTTATATTCCCAAAAGTATCATGAAAAGACATTTTAAGCCAAACTCAAAGCATAAGAAATCCCACTGATTTAATTTTAAACATGCCAGGAGAAATGAAGGGAGGTTAATGATATGTAAATGAAATATGGAAAAGTGCTGCAGTGTGAAGAAGAGAATATCAATTGATTTTTTTTTTTCCTCTTTACAGATCTGCTCTAGTTGCTTCATGCAGTTTGAATGTGTTGGGTTAGTAGGAGCAGTCTTAATAAGTCAGGCTCTCATGCTAATTATTGACTCTAATTTATTGAAGAGGCTCAAATGAGCACAAATAAAGCACCTTTACCACTGATCTCTACGTCGGGGGTCTTACTACGTTTAGACATTTGAGAAGCTGAGCAGTGAATAGTAACAAAGGTAGTTGTCAGGGCTCAGGAAAAGGAAATGTGTTGATTTATATGAATATCTACTCCGCGTACAGAACTCCATTGGCAGGACAAAGTCAATACAGAGGAGGGAGAAAGAGAAAAAGGGAACGTTCTCCACCTGACTTAAATCACACTAGCAGAGCAGTAGCTTTGTGTTTTGGCTTCGGCAGTGTTATTTGTTCTCTGTTTGACTCCTGGCACCATCCATTACATTTTGCTTCACTTTCGTTTTATTTCAGTCCATGCCCTCGTCCCAGAACCTTTTGTACTTGTTCCATCCCCCACAGACCAACATTAAACCCCTACAAGTACTTTGGATGGGTCTCTGACACAGCCGATGGTCACACACTGAGGACATGGGCCCCAATCCAAAACAGGCTTATTAGAAATATTATCTTAAGTACTAAATGGATAATAGAGAGATATGAATGAATGGCCCCACTCGTACGCCATTACTCTCACATGTATGTGTGCAGGTACACGCACATTAAAGGGTAACTTCACCTAAAAAGATAAATAAAACAATACATTTTCTCATTTACCTCCAGTGGTGTCTTGTAATGCATATACTGTACTTTTGGTTTTATTTGTATGAGATGGGAATAACATTTAATTTGTGGGGCTCACTAGTGGTGAAGACGAAGTATTCAAATCCTTTACTCAAGTAAAAGTTTCACTTAAACAATGTAAAATTACCCTATTATATGTAAAAGTCCTGCATGGGAAATGTCACTTCAATTAAAGTACTAGCAGCAAATGTACTATCTGTAGCTGTCAAATAAATGTACTGCTGTAAGAAATGCAATATTTCCTTCTGAAACATAGTGAAGTAGAGGTATAAAATAACATAAAATGGATTTACTTAAGTATGGGACTGAGCTCCATTCCACCACTGGTGCTAACGGTAGCAATGTGTCTATCCACACTAACAGACTATACATATAAACCACACTACCAACAGTTTACATTGAAACTGCTTTCTCACGACAAAGTAGTCCCATATGAAAACTGTTGACGGTGTGTTCTGTGAAGTATAGAGTAATTGGTACATTGTATCTGGAAAGAGCAGTTGCTTAATGGGTTTTTAAGTGTTATTTTTAAATGCTGTGAGCACCACAAATTAAATTCCACTCACCTCAATTGTTTTTTTTTGGTGGAGGCAGAAATCTCTGCAAAAATAGATGTCTTAAAACTTGTGCTAATAAAACCAAAACTGTCTGTAGGGCTAGATACTACTTCAGAACATGTTTTTTTGTGACGAGGTCATTTTGTAACTGACCCTTTTAAAGCAAGAATGCACAGAAACACAGAGGGCTTCGAGTAGCTGGCTTCAGTATCTACTCTGCTGCTGATTTAACAACGTGGCCTCTTTGTTTCTACATGATAGATGATAAATGATTGCTCAAGTTGTGTCCGCTGTTCACCACAAATATTCGTCTGATGATGAGCCTCTGACAGCTCATTACTGTACCGCATAGGCATCTGTAACATTAGCTTTATAGACCTGCTGGTCCAACATTAACCGTTACAGAGTGCCTCTAACAATATGCTCATAACGGCCCGAGGACGCTGTGTTTTGGCCATATTTATATGAAGTGCAATCGACTATTTGTGCACAGGCGATCTAGTGAGCAACTGTTGGCATGTCTCAGTGGACCGTAGGACTTAAATGTAAATGATAGCAACTGTCTGGTCGGCTGTTATCTCAAACAAGACATCCTAGCCAACGTGGTCTCAGTATCGCCTACTCATGAATGTGTGCAATGAATACACTCACAGAAGGGGCAGTGAGAGAATTGCAGAAATAGCCTGAGAGTGGGTGTTTCTATATTTTCCTCCCTCTCATTGTAGCCGTTGCCTCCCTTCTGTTCTGTTTGTGTGGCTAGGTCTCTCAGGAGTAATATTCCTGCTCTAGTATCACTTTTTTCTTGTGGCGGTTGTAAGTTAAAGGCTCAAGGAAGATGGGTGACTGAACCCAAATAAGTGCCTCTATTTTTTAGAAGATTGATACATATAGATCTTAATCCGGGCTTGTTGTTATGACAGCACCGGTATCATTTTTATGGCTACTAGCTGTAAGCATGTACGCAGTTTTGTGTCCATGTGCGGATGCCTCTGTGGTCCTGTAGGACTGCTCCAGCACCAGGAATGACCATCAGTCTCCATTACTCTACCCCTCCCTCACATCCTTCATTCTTCCATTCCTCCCTCCTTACCCCATCGCACCTAGACCCCCCCCTCATCCTGCCCTCACATTTGTCCGTGAGGTCTTCCTCTACAACCAAGCAAGTTGAAAGAAATACTAGTTGTAGTGTCTTTATCCTTTTCAAGGAGAGACAAAAGATCTGTAGGATTGGCCACATGTTTGCAAATGCATCAATGCTGAAAGAGAGAGGGGGGGGGGGGGGGGGGGGGG